TTTCTTAGCGATGCATATGGCAGTCAGAACCACGTGAACCAAAGATGTTTCAATCGGGACATCGTCCAGGTTTCCCAGTAAACAAAGAGAAGGGGAAGTTGGGATATGACATTTCAGACATTTTGACAGATCCTCAAAAGCCAAATTAAAGCCACACTTTGCTACTTTTTCATAGTCAGAAATACTTTTCAGGAGCTAGTATGTCCTAAAATGACCTTTTACAGTGTTAATGAAAGGCCACCCAGCCCGTTCGCTGTCTTTCGAGCCGCATTAACATTTATTACCCACAAAACTAATGTAACATTTTATCAGTTTAATAAATCACGTCCCTAACAAGTGCACAGCCATTCTATTAAAAAAAAAATATACTAAGTTTTAAAAAGGATGGGGTATCGCTACATGCTAAAGCTACATATTAGACCCTTAAAACTAGCAGGATCCCTAGTTTAAAGTTTAACCGCTGGTTGTTAACCTTCTTGTTAAGTCCTATTTTCTATCAGTTTAAGTTTTTTTTTTTATTTAATTAACCCTGAGGAGGCTCAGTCAGGATGGAGCTATCCATCAGACATAAGGAACGTACCTGCAGGATTAATCAAAAGATTTTCAAAAAGACATAGCAAATATGATTTAAAGGGACATGAATTATTTAACATACCTAGATATCGGATACTCGTAAAGGAACATTGTGTGTCCACATATGGAGTTAAATTGTGGAATAAATTAAATACTGAAATCAAGAATGCAAAAACAATACTGACTTTCAAAAAAGAGATAAAAAATGAAATGATTAACTTATATAGATCCGTTACATAAATGTGTGAGGGGAGGGGGGTGGGGGGGGATGAAAGAAAAAACAACTAGTATATATTCATATGTGTATGTAGTTATATAGATCTATAACTTAATGCTTCTTTCTGTGTAAATTGTTTTCTTTCTTTTTTTCAAATTCATGGGTTGAGATTGTGTCGGCCAACAAGTCCAGGAACTATATTGTTCAATTTCTTTAAGAATCATATGATTATTTCACTTGTATTAATGTTATTTTAGTTAAAAGGGGCAGACAACATAAGTTTTTCTTCTTTCTGTCCCCTTTTTCAGTTTGGCTTGCAGCAATTTAGTTCTGTATTTTTATTTTAATGTCAATAAATGAAAATAAAAGATTTAAAAAAAAAACCTTGAGTAGGCTCAGTCAGGATGGAGCTATCCATCAGACATAAGCGGGGGCACGTCCTGGACAGGACCAGGGGCGGCTTTAGGCCCGGCTACTTGGGCTGAAGCCCCGGATCTTTCATGATAAACCCCGGATCTAAATCGCGGAAGTAACATGCAGTACCAAAGTCCAACAGAGAGGGCGCAGCTGGCAGTAGTTTGTATACAGCCTGAGCCTCCACCACTGAAGAAGAAGTCCTTCAGCAGCTGGGCTTCTTCTACACTCTCTGCCTGAAACACATGAGTGAAGATGGACATAAGGACGTTTTTTAGACCAAAATTACAACGACAGAATCCCAGCTTTGATGAGACTGGTGTTGACTCAGGTTTGTGAGTCTTATTTGAAAATATTTGTTGTGCTGCTGGTTTGCCTAAAGTTAGCTTACTATCAGGTAAAGTTGTTGGAGAAAGAAAGGGAATATTTACTATCATCTCACACTAAACACTAACAGGAACAATATTCTGCCCTGAATATGTAGCTTCAGATTAAAAATTATGTGGTACAAGACATATATGATGTTGACTAGTGCGTGTCACGTGTGTGTGCGCATGCGTGTGTTAAGCCCCGGATCTTCTTCAGTCCTAAATCCGCCCCTGGACAGGACAGTCCTCAGAGACTCATTAATTCACATCTAGGGACAATTTAGAGTCACCAACTTTGAACGTGCATGCTTTTGGCCAGTGGGGGGGAACTGGAGCACCCAGAGAAAACCCACGCTTGCATGAGGAGTACATTTTAACTCCACACAGAAAAGCCACCGCTTTGAACCCGTGACCTACTGTGAGACAACAGTGCTACTCACTGTTCCTCCATGAAGCCCCGTTTTTCCTAAAATTTTTAGAAAGGTTCCAGGTGTCTGCGATGGACTGGCAATCTGTCCAGGGTGTACCCCGCCTGCTTGCCCGGAGATTGCTGGAGATATGCGCCAGCCCCCTGCAACCCCGCGTGGATAGGCAGGCATACAAATGGATGGATGGTTCCAGATGTTCTGCTGCTTGCTTTGAAGATTCAAACACGCACATTGATTTGTCATGAAGAACTTTTTGTTTTGTATGTCTGTGATGAGATTACTTTCCTTCTAAAAACTTTTTCTGTTTAAACTTTTCTCTGTTCTCCATCTTTTATGAATAAGTGTTTCAGATTTTTTTTAAAACTTCAAATTCAAAGAGGCCACAGCTTTGGACCTGTGACCAGGCAGCGACACAACAGCGCTACTCACTGTGCATCCATGCAGACCTGCTTTGTTCACATAAAAAAACCTGGTAAAGAATAAACTAAGGTCTTGTTACGCCATACAGTCCAAAACGTGTCCTTGACTCTGCGAGGCGATGTTGCTGCCCGTGAATTCTCAGAGTTTGGACATGTTCCCTGTAAGTCCGTTAGAGCCATCAGGCCAGAATAATGGATGGTCGGAGGTTTCACAATCCCGTCTTCCAGAATTACATTGCTAAGATTGACTGCTTGGCTCCGATCTCCAGATTTTTCCAATTCGTCGCTCAGCTCCTTGGTGAGGTCTGGGACTTCAGACTCTAGCAGCATGTTTCCATTTTTCACACTGAAACTTTCGTCTTTCTGGTCCCCAAAGCCACCGCTCGTCTCTCCAGCGTGTTGGAGCTCCTCGGTTTTCTCACGAAGCTCTACGCTAGTTTTTCCAAATGTAATTTCATTATCGGACAATTCTGTGCTAAGATCAACAGCTTGTGTGATAGCTGGATCACGGAGCGTCATGGCGTCCTGCTTCTCACTCAGCTCTGTGTTGGGGTTTTGAACATCTGTTCCCAGATTCATGTTTCCTTCTTCCAGACTAACGTTATCATGGCTGAAGGAGTTGCACTGGTCCTCAAAGCCATCAGTTATCTCTCCAGGCGTGAGGACCTCCTGTGTTTTTCCCAGAAGTTCATTTTCGTTGTCAGAAACGTCGGTATAATCTTGAACTGCTGGTTCAATATTCAGATCACGGAGCATCATGGCGTCCTGCTTCTCACTCAGCAACTCTGTTAATTGTTGGACTTGAATTTCCAACACCTGATTTTCTTCCATCAAAACCGTTTTCTCTTCATTTAGGAGGTTATAAGCTTGCTCAGACTGATGGAAGGCGCCTTCAACAGTTAGAAGCTCCTTTGTGATCTCTACAATGTGCTCGTCTTTCTGCTGTGAGACCCGATTGCTCTCAGATAATTTCAGGTTTAAATCACGAACCTCCGTCTGTAAATCCTGATTCTCACGACGAAGCGTTTCCATTCCTTCTTCCATTGAGTGAAACTTCTTTGTCATGCATTGCATTTGTTTCAATGCAATTTCAAGTTTCTGACTTAGATCTTTGGCTGAAACTTGCTGTTTTTCAATGATTTACTTCTGTTCACTCGCCTTTTGGCGTAGCAGCCGGAGTTCTTCTGTCAAAGACGCGTTTTGAATTCTCTCCCTCCAAACATCATGCAATGTTTTGTCAAGTTGTTGATCCAGAATAAATTTTTCTTTACTCAGTGAACTGAAATCCTGCAGAAGGCCTTCATTCTCATCACAGAGTCTTTCGTTTTCAAGCTGAAATTGCCTCTTAGAGCAGGAGGAATCAGATTTTCCCCACAGACTCTCTACAGTTTTATGAAAAACGTTCTTAAAACTCCCACCTTTTTTCCGAACATCCATGTTTTGTTGTTCTGAAGCCTGAGTGCTGATTTGTCGACTCATTTTTGTTTTCTGGCAGAAATAAAAGTTGCTCTCTATACTGTGAACTCTCGGGAGAACCACTGAGCGTGACCTGCTCTCAGCTAGCTCTGACGAAATGTGCTCTGTCTGCAGAACTCTCCTATATATAGTAGTGATGAGGAATGACGTCACAAAGGCGACGTAAATGTCCAGTCACGTGATTTGGACAGCGTCAGCGTCAGCTCCCCCCATGGACGTAATTTGGGGGGGGGGGGGGGGTGCAGGGGGGACATGTCCCCCCCACTTTTTCCAAAGTCAAGTTTTGACCCCTGCACTTTTTACCATCCAAAAGCAATATTACGCTATATTAAATTGACACTGGTTGAGCTCTAGGACCTAGCGGAAAGCAACCGTTTATGTTAAAGCCTGTTTCCCATTAGAACATATTGTAAAGATACCCCCCCCCCCCCCCGTGTCCCCCCCACTTCTAAAGTGAAAATTACGTCCTTGGCTCCCCCAACCCCCCCGCGCTTCCAGCATCAGCGTCACACAGGAGAGGAGAGAGATGCGCTTCCACATGGAGACACCAGGAGGCGCTGCGGTTCGTGACTGGGGAGCTAATGGCTCCTCGTGAGGGATAAACAAAATAAGCTAGGCTATATGAGCCCAGTAGCTAATATTTCGATGTAAGTATAATTGAAACAGTTTTTCAGTTTAAAATGTTTTATTCATGTTTTATCAGCTGTTGGAGAGAATACAGCAGTAGTTGCTGGGGGCGTGTACTTCCGGTTTCCCAAGGTAGAGTCAGAGGGAAGTGTGTGGTACGTCATCATGACTCTGACTCTGTTGTTATAATAGATGCCAGGAAAATCAGAATGAATATTTATTTTACTATTTTGTGCAGTTTTAACTTGTTAGTTAGCTAGCTAGCTAGCTAGCTAGTACCTGCCAAGAGGTGTTCAGCCAGTTAACAATGTTGTTTTTGCCTTTTCTCTTTGGTCGGAATAAATTCTTTAATTTCTGTGGTTGTCCACGTTTGAAAGACATAATTTGATAATGAGACAAAGCAGTGAGGCGGGACTGTAGGTGGAGCGAGTATAGCTAGGTGGCTGAGAGAAAAAGTGGAATAAAATGGACTCAGAGGTTAATTTCCACAGTGATTTATCTGCTACTCATCCCAAATGTCATTTTATTTTATTTTTACTATCATTTTGCACACTAACAGTTTTGGTATGACAATAAACAGATCATCTTTTCTACGTTCTTGCTGTGTTTGACTCGTAATTCCATTTTTGGTTCTTTTTTTAAACACAGAAAAGGTTTTTTTTTTACCTTGCTGACAGTTTCATTTGGATAAAAGAAGCTATAGAGATAAGGAGACGTGGATGTGAGACCATGAACAGAGACGATGGGGTTTACTCATTGGATTGCGCATGGGACTGCATCATTGGAGAGGGGAGAGCTGGCAGCAGATGGCCACATCGTCCTCTGCTGCCCACGGATAAAGGGAGTAGGAAGTGACGCCACCATCAGCGTCAGCTCCGAGGAAGTTTGCAGTCGCAAACGAAACTGTCAGCAAGGTAAAAAAAAAAAAAAAAAAAAAAAAAACCTTTTCTGTGTTTTAAAAGAACCAAAAATGAAATAAACAGCAGTCAGGGAGGAGACCTGGGACAGAGGACAGCAGCAGAGACGGTGAGGACAGATTAGAACGTGATCAAAAACAAAGCAGTCGCTGTAAAAAACCAGGAAGGCATCAGGAAAGGGTTTTCTTTCTGAATTATTCTCATTCACTTCAAAATGTTTGTCGCCCAACTTTTATTGTAGGGGCAGAGATCAGGCTGTCAGCTGCTGTTCATACTGGCTATGCTGATGAGCAGGTGGAGCCCTGTAACTGTTGGTTTTAATATTAATAATAATGATAATTAATAACTGTCTTTGAACCACTATTAATATTACTAATAATTCAGCAAATGGTTAAATGGTTCTCTAACCAATAAAGAAAGGTTAGGTTGAATGTGTCCCCCTCAGTTCTGAGAAGATGGTTTCACCCTGCATTCATTTCGACTCACCATTTCGTCTGCACTGAGTTTGAGGGTAGGTGGTAAGATTTTAGTGAGGAAATATTTTTTATAAAATCATAGTAATGCACCCTCCACTACAGTCAAAACTCCATATAAAAGTTAGAACTGTGAATAAAGTCTGGTCACATTTAACGTGCGCATGCGTGTGGGAGTTTGGGTTGGCTGTCCTCGAGGAAAAACGTTTGGGAACCACTGGTTTGCTGTAATGTTTTTTTGCTCGGATTACTTTTATTATCTCGCAATTTAGCAGATGTCTTGATGTCATGTAGATGAAAGAACTCAGGTCCTTAATGTTCCTCCTGCAGGTTTAGGAGAACTTCTTCACAAAGGACAGGTACTCGTTGACATCATCAGGCGAGCCGACCACAAAGGGCACCCTCTGGTGGAGGGCTTCGGGCTGAACGTCCAGAACCCTCTGGGTCCCGGTGGTGGCGAGGCCGCCCGCCTGCTCGATGAGGAAGGCGATGGGGTTACACTCGTACAGCAGCCGCAGCTTAGAAGATGCCATGAGGAGAGAAGGTGTAGCAAAGAGGTTAGGAGTTACCAACAAATCATATCGTTGTAACATTCAACCTTCATAAGATGAAATACTACAACATATTTAAGCTTTTCCATGTAGTTTTCACTAAACAGGAAGGTCATACAGATGCTCTCTAATGTATGACAATATTATTATTATTATTATTAAGGGACCAGCCTGCAACAGCATGCGTTAATAATAATAATAATAATAATAATAATAATAATAAAAATAAAAATAATAATTATTATAATCATTATTATTAATGTTAAGGGACCAGCCTGCAACAGCATACATTAATAATAATAATAATGATAATAATAATAATAATCGTTATTATTATTAAGGGACCAGCCTGCAACAGCATGCATTATTAATAATAATAATAACAATAATTATTATTATTATTAAGGGACCTGCCTGCAACAACATGCATTAATAATAATAATAACAATAATAATAATAATTATTATTATTATTAAGGGACCAGCCTGCAACAGCATTCATTAATAATAATAATAATTATTATTATTATTATTAAGGGACCAGCCTGCAACAGCATGCGTTAATAATAATAATAATAATAATAATAATAATAATAAAAATAATAATAATAATTATTATAATCATTATTATTAATGTTAAGGGACCAGCCTGCAACAGCATACATTAATAATAATAATAATGATAATAATAATAATAATCGTTATTATTATTAAGGGACCAGCCTGCAACAGCATGCATTAATAATAATAATAATAATAATTATTATTATTATTATTATTAAGGGACCAGCCCGCAACAGCATGCATTATTAATAATAATAATAACAATAATAATTATTATTATTAAGGGACCTGCCTGCAACAACATGCATTAATAATAATAATAACAATAATAATAATAACAATAATTATTATTAAGGGACCAGCCTGCAACAGCATTCATTAATAATAATAATAATAATTATTATTATTATTAAGGGACCAGCCTGCAACAGCATGCATTAATAATAATAACAACAACAACAATAATAATAATAATTATTATTATTATTATTATTAATGTTGAGGGACCAGCCTGCAACAGCAGTCATTAATAATAATAACAATTATTATTATTATTATTAAGGGATCAGCCTGCAACAGCATGCATTAATAATAATAACAATAATAATAACAATAATAATTATTATTAATATTAATATTAAGGGACCAGTTTGCAGCAGCATGCATTAATAATAATAATAATAATAATTATTATTATTATTATTAAGAGACCAGCACGCAACAGCATGCATTATTAATAATAATAATAACAATAATAATAATTATTATTATTATTATTATTAAGGGACCTGCCTGCAACAGCATGCATTAATAATAATAATAACAATAATAATAATAATAATAATAATTATTATTATTATTCCGGGGATTGGACCGCCAAGGCTCCCGCCTTGGTCTGCCACCCGATTCACATTGCACCGGACCCTTCATGTTCCTCCTGCGGGTGGTGGGTCCACAGTTGGACGAGCCCATGTATCCGGTTCGGGCTGGGCCCGGCCGGGCCCCATGGGCGAAAGCCCGGCCACCAGGCGCTCGCTCACGGGCCCCAACCCCAGGCCTGGCTCCAGGGTGGGACCCCGGTAACCCTCCGGGCCGGGTACTCCGACTCTTCGTTTTAACCGCCATGAAAGATCCTTCGAACCGTTCTTTGTCTCACCCTTCACCTAAGACCAATTTGTCATGGGAGACCCTACCAGGGGCACTAAGTGCCCCAGACAACATAGCTCCTAGGATCATTAGGGCACTCAAACTCCTCCACCACGATAAGGTGACGGTTCAAGGAGGAGACCGAAAGAACGAGATCGCGGATACAAGCGGCCGAAATGAGTTTCCTCCGTAGGGTGGCCGGGCTCAGCCTTAGAGATAGGGTGAGGAGCTCGGACATTCGGGAGGGACTCGGAGTAGAACCGCTGCTCCTCCGGATCGAAAGGAGCCAGTTGAGGTGGTTTGGGCATCTGGTCAGGATGCCTCCTGGACGCCTCCCCGGGGAGGTGTTTCGGGCATGTCCTGCCGGCAGAAGGCCCCCGGGTCGACCCAGGACACGTTGGAGAGGTTACATCTCCAATCTGGTCCGGGAACGCCTTGGGGTCCTGCCGGAGGAGCTGGTGGACAAGGCCGGGGAGAGGACGGCCTGGAGCTCCCTAGTTGGGATGCTGCCCCCGCGACCCGGACCCGGATAAGCGGAGGAAGACGAGACGAGATTATTATTATTAAGAGACCAGCACGCAACAGCATGCATTATTAATAATAATAATAACAATAATAATAATAATTATTATTATTAAGGGACCCGCCTGCAACAGCATGCATTAATAATAATAATAACAACAATAATAATAATAATAATAATAATTATTATTATTATTATTATTAATGTTGAGGGACCAGCCTGCAACAGCAGTCATTAATAATAATAATAACAATTATTGTTATTATTAAGGGATCAGCCTGCAACAGCATGCCTTAATAATAATAACAATAATAATAATTATTATTAAGGGCTCAGCCTGCAACAGCATGCATTAATAATAATAGTAATAATAATAATAATAATAATAACAATTATTATTATTATTATTAAGGGACCAGTCTGCAGCAGCATGCATTAATAATAATAATTATTATTAATGCATATTTGGCAAGGGGCTAGCAGCTTGGGTTAATTCCCCTAGAGGTCTAATCTAAAGTGCTTGAGGTTACCTTTCCTTTGGGGCTCTTTTCGTTTGCAGGATACATGAAGATTCCTCCGTAGGCGATGGTGCGGTGAACATCAGAGACCATGGAGCCGACGTATCGAGCCCCATAGGGAGAGCTGCCATCCTGCAGGAGAAGGGGGCGGGGAGATATAATTGGATGTGATTCAAAAACATTAGATTATTTTTTACTTTAGTTGGTTTTAGTTACAATCTGTGCAGAGACTAAAATCTACTCCACTAACCCGTCTAAGGGTGGAATTAATGTATTTTGCATTAAGTTTAAAATAAACTAAAAGTCTTCCTGCAAACTTCTGAACTTTGATTGAAGTCACAAAAACTACAAACATGTCCGCCTGGGGTGAGTCCTGACCAGACCTCACCTCGGGGTACTTCTTGTGTTTGAGGTACTCGTTGATGGAGGGGTGGAAGTATTTGGCGTAGCCTTCGTTCAGACTGTAGATCTTTCCTTTCTGTTTAATCCTGACGTTCCTCTCAGTCAGGATGAACTCACCGATGGCCTGAGGAGAATAAAACATGAAAGCGTCACAATTCCTGCAGAAACACAATAAATAAGTGAATATTTCATCTAAAGGAGATTATTAAGGGTTGAACTGTAAAACTTAACTAGATCCTCTAAGCTTTAAGTCAAATTCTGATCATTCTTGTTAACATGTAACTCTGAAGAATGAAAACAGAAAAAGGAAGAGAACAGAAGGAAAACGAGGTTTGTTAGTTTGGTAAGTTTATTATTTTTTAATAAATATATCTTATTAATGTTATTATTTAATGATCAAATTACTTATTTGTGTTATTTCCTTTGTTTTTAGTACTTTACACTCACAGGATCCAGCATGAAGAAGTTGAGTCCGGCTCCGGTGCTGAGAGCCACCAGGGTGGCGCTGCCGTAGAGGGCGTAGCCGGAACACACAATGGCGTGGCCCGGCTGCAGGGCGTCCTTCTCTGTGGGCTCGCCCTCTGACGCCTCAGCAGCACCAGCAACAAAACAAACAAACAAATCAAAAATTATTTGTCTTGAAACACAAACAAGTTAATGAAGCTAAAATCTGACACCTATGACAAGAAGCAACTTGCCCTCAGGGGCGTGTCCAGGGAGTGGCCTGGGGTAGCACACGCCACCCTTGGAATCTGATTGGCCACCTTTAAAAGGCTTTTGGGGGTAAAACAAAAAAATCATAACCATTGGTGCCACCTATGCACAAAGTTGTGCCTCACCTGGGCCACCCTCTGGACACGCCCCTGACTGCCCTTAACCTCACTGAGCAGGAGTCCTAAAATCAGAGCAGCACTGCCACCTTGTGGCCACTAAGCGTTTCTGCACAGAAGCAGGTGTTCATGGAACCAAACTGATGAGACCCCAGCATAGACGCAGAAATATGTCTATTATATATATGTCTGTGTAATCCAGACCAGTGTTCCAGTTAAACCGACCCGTTTGTAGATGGCGAATATGGTTCCTATGGAAGCCAAACAGTCGATGTTACTGGATCCGTCCAGAGGATCGAAACAGACCACGTACTTTCCCTGAGAGACGAAAGAAAAAAAAAAAGCTTTTTAAAGGCAGCAAAACACACATTTTGCTCATAAATACATAAAATACTTCCAGTTGTGGAAACCTCAGATCACACCTGATTTATTAAGTGACCTCTTAAAAAATTTAGAAATTATAGAGTTTATTCAGAGGAAGCCTTCATTTACAGAGTTAAGAGTAAAGACTGGTTGGATGGTTCCTTCAGTGTGATGCTCTTGTGTTTCTGACTGAAAGAATCTTTGGTCATTTTTTACATTAAAACCCCTAAAGAGGTCATTAAAATCCTGTACTTCTGTAATAAATAAAGATGATAACTTGTCTCAGATCAGTTCCTGCCGTGAACCCTACCTCCTGGTTTACTGACAGCCTTCGCAGCCTGAAGCGCCAGTGCAGAAAACTTGAGCGTTTGTGGAAGAAGACCCATCTCCACGTCCATCTGCTGCACCTAAAGGATCTTCTGACATCCTTTAACTCTGCAGTCAGAGACGCTAGGGTTTCCTATTTCTCCAACCTGGTGTCCCCGAGCAAAGGGAACCCCAAGGTGCTGTTTAACACCATCTGCAGCATCGTCTCTCCTGCCTCTCCTACAGCCTCCATCCACTCTGTTGCAGACTGTGAGAACTTTCTCTTTCTTTGTGGACAAAGTCAATAAGGTTAGATCTAACATCTCTCCTTCAGCCTTATCGCTGCCTCTCCCGACTCCAACCAGGCCCATCATCCTAGATAGCTTTGCTCCTGTTTCTTTGCCTGAGTTAACCAAACTAGTTAACTCCATGAAGACCTCTGCATGCCCCCTCCACATCTTACCCTCGTCTTTGTTTAAAAGTGCTTTTCAGTCCATCGGTCCCAGCGTGCTCTCTATAATTAATGCTTCTCTGGTTTCTGGTCACGTCCCTGCTTACTTTAAGAATGCTGTAATCCACCCGCTTCTTAAAAAACCGAGTCTCGACCCCTCTCTCCATAGCAGTTTCAGACCCATCTCTAAACTTCCGTTCATCTCCAAGATCTTGGAAAAGGTTGTGGCTAAACAACTCGCAGCTGCTCTTGATGAACATAACATCTATGATAGCTTCCAGTCAGGTTTTCGTAGAGCTCATTCTACTGAAACAGCTCTTCTTAGGGTCTCTAATGACCTTCTGACTCACAGTGATGCAGGGGACTGTTCTTTTCTGGTCCTGCTGGACCTGACTGCAGCCTTTGACACTGTTGACCATCACCTGCTACTGGAGAGGCTCAGAGACTGGGTAGGCCTATCAGGATCTGCTCTGGAGTGGTTCTCCTCCTTATCTCTCTGAGCGCTCCTTTTCTGTGGCCGTCTCCAAGTTTAGGTCCTCCACCACCTCCCTTACCCATGGTGTCCCACAAGGTTCTGTGCTGGGGCCTCTGCTCTTCCTCTTCTGCTTCCTCTTCAGCACATCCTGACCTCCTTCAAAGGAATCTCCTACCATCTTTATGCAGATGACATCCAACTGTACATCTCCTTTAAGCCCCATGAGACGTCTAAGCTGCAGCTGTTACACACCTGCTTAGACTCTATCAAAGCCTGGATGGTGGGAGCTTTCTACAGCTGAATAAAGATAAGACTGAGATCCTCATCTGTGCCCCAGACAAGCTAGTTCCCAAAGTCAGAGACTCTCTTGGTCAGCTTGCTTCTCACACCAAACCTTCTGTCAGGAATCTTGGCGTGACCTTTGACCCAGCTCTCACCCTGGATTCTCATGTCAGTTCTCTTGTTCGCTCTTCCTTCTTCCATCTCAGGAACGTTGCTAAGCTGAGTCCCATTCTGTCCCGCTCTGAACTTGAGACAGTTCTCCACACCTTCATCTCCTCACGCTTAGACTACTGTAACTCTCTTTTCACGTGTCTGAGCAGAACCTCCCTGAACCGTCTACAGGTGGTTCAGAACGCCTGTGCTCGGCTTCTGACCAAGTCCTCCAAACACACCCACATCACCCCGCTTCTCCTCCAGCTTCACTGGCTGCCAGTCAACTTCAGGGTTCATTTCAAGATCCTGGTTCTGGTCTATAGGGCCTTACATGGACAAGCACCATCTTACATTGGTGATCTTCTTAGTCCCTACACCCCCAGCAGGTCCCTGAGTTCCAGTGGCCAAAGCCTACTGGTTGTGCAGCACCAGGCTAAAGGTCAAAGGTGACAGATCATCTGCTGCTGTGGCCCCCAGACTCTGGACCTCTCCACCGCTGAGCCTGAGACCAGTGGACTCAGTGGTCTCCTTTAAACTCACCTGTTCAGGCGTTGGTGGGACCTTCATCTTCACCCTCTCCTTGTTCTGCTCTTATTCTGACGTTCCCAGGATCTACTGACTTCCCTCTTTCCTGTTCATTTTCTCTCTCCCTTTCCTTACATTATTTTTTCAAATCACAATTTAATTTTTTACTCACTTAAAACATATTTTTAATCGTTTTAATAATATTTTTAAACTTTTTTTAAAAAAAAGTGTGACGGGCTTCATGATTTTATCTTGAGAGGCGCTATAGAAAAGACCGTTTTAGTTCTGTCATGGTTCTGCGTGAGTTAGTTTGACGTTTTGTGGTGACAACCGGGCCGCAAAGGCCTTTTTTCTTCCGTGTTTAGTTTTAACAGCATCGATGCGGTCAGATCTAATGAGTGAAACTCTTATTTGTTGTCTTGTGCAGGTTTAACGAAGCTCTGGTACCCTCTTGTCTTTGGGCGTGACGATGAGCTCCTTGTTCTCCTCTGACACCATGCAGCAGGTGCTGTAGGACGCCTGCAGCATGTTGATCACCAGCGTGTTGGACAGCACGTCCAGCTTCTTCACGTCGTCGCCCGTCACGTTCACGGAGCCCGCCATGCCCTGCCTGCAAACAGCAGCCAGACTTGAACACAAACACACGGCCGACCACATCCACTCAGAGTCGTTGCTTCATTTAGAACAATCAAAGACGACTGGAAAGGAAAGTGTGAAGAAATAGCTTTTGCACAACTCTCTCAGCAGCCGAGTCCTTAAGTAAAGAAACGTTGCAGGATTTTTTAATTTTAGATTAGATTACTGCAGTGGCTTCGGCTCGTGTTCACGCCTGCAGCTCAGTGGCATGTCCAGATCTTTTAAAATGGGGTGGCGCAGGTGAGGCACAACTTTGTGCATGGGTAGCACCAATGGTTATGCTTTTTTTGTTTTACCCCCAAGCCTTTTGTGGACAATAAAATGCCCATTTAAAGGTAAATTAGTGTGGTGGCACCTGGGGTGGCCAATTAGATTCCAAGGGTGGCATGTGCTACCCCAGGCCACCCCCTGGACACGCCCCTGCTGCAGCTCTGGACGCTCTAGACGTCACAGCAGGCTGGTTCTGCCACCCAGAGACGCTCCGAAACGTCGAGCCGGACTCGGGGACAGAAATCTAACATCTCTGATGGTTCTGGCTCAACCAGAGGTGGGCAGACTGACCGAAGCACCAATACCAAACCCCAACCCCCACCCCACCCCACCCCCGCAGGAGGAGCAGCTGCACCACTGGCTGGGGTCCTGATGGAGGGGAGGAGGAGGGGTTTGTTTTTTCATTTCTGTGTCCTGTTTTACTTGATCCGGATCAGCTGGTCCAAATCCCTCAAAGAGCTTGTGAGAATGAGTAAAAGGTATCAGTACCGGTACCGATACTGGTATCTGAATCGTATCGGCCCGTCCCAGAATAAAACCCATGAACTAAAACATTTTTTACTTTTTTTTGTGGTTTTCCAAAACAAGAAATCCCGTTTCATTACACGCAGAAAAATCCAGTCCGGATCGGAGCGGTCTAACAGCTGTGGTTCTGGAACCGGACCAGCCCGTTTCTCAGCTGCTCTCCTCTCCATGATGGGATGGAAACGTCCGCACCGGTACTTACAGGTGGGCCAGACCCGCCTTCCTCACAGCAGAAGAGATGGCCTTGATGGCGGTCAGCATGGCGTTGATGAGCTGGGTCAGCTCACCCGTGGCTCCTTTAGCCTGCCGACCCGTCTCCATGATGAACCGGGTCAGGGTCCAAACATCCGTGTCGAACGCCGACTGGTCCGACATGCTGGCTGCTGGTTCTGCTGTGGGCAGCAGGCTGAATGAACGCGGTCCGGTTCAGAGCCAGAGGATCTATTTGTGAGCTCAGCCGAGTGGACCAGTGACCCTGCAGGATTCTGGTGTCGGGTGTCGTCTGCAGACACTCTAGCGCTGCACAGAACCTTTATTTACATGGTCCAAGAGGTTCTGCAGCAGAACAAATCTGATTAAAAAGCTGCACCAGATTCATAAACTCCCTTTTACACTTAAATGTTGACGAACTGGACCAACTTCATTGATGTTCTGTTGTTTCCTTCGACTCGTTTCGACGAATTCAAACAGAAAAAGCTTCATTTCAGTTTGATTTATTGCAGCAGGTCCTATTTTTTTTATTCCAACAGCTGAAATAAGATGTAAAGGTCACCAGCTGACCTTTAGTGAAAAGGTCAAGGATCTGCGCCAACTTTCTGGTTTCTAAAATAAAATCCTGATAAAAACTTTAGTTTTACTCAGCTTTTACGATTAAGGTTCATGTTCTGATCAGGACGTGTTTTACTTTTTTTTGTGAGCCTTCTGTTTTTGTAGCCTGTTGGGAATTTCTTCACTTCCTGTTTTATTTTGAAAGACTAGATCTGTCTTTTGTTGTTTTGATTTATTTCCTGTTTGTGTTTTAATCCTGATTTCTGTTTATTTCACCTGGTATCAGCTTCTTGTCAGATAAATTATGTAATTTATTAGTATTAACATTGATTTTAATATGTGTTTAGGTTTGTCATTTTAAATCCAAAGAAAAATCTGTGATTTTCCAGTTTATTAAATGTTTTTTTCCCAGAGTAAAGTATATTATATGAAATTCTGAAATCATAAAAGTGAAAAAAAAAACACACATTTAGATTTGAAAAACTTTCATCATAAAAGTTTACGAACAATAATGTTATGTGGCTTTTAATCTGAAACCTGAGACGTGTCTGGAAAATAATAAATGTTAATTTTTTATTATTTCAGAAAATGAGAACAACAGTTTTTTTTAAGAAATGACACAAATATGTAAACACAAATAAACTCGTTTGATTTATTTTGAACGATTCATCCCAAAAACAGTACTTTGTTTCACAATAAAAGCATCGAGTCTTGTCCCATAAAAGCATCTCTTGTTGCTATAGTAACTAGGATTTCTGCTCCAGCTGACTGAGGCACATTGATGAAAGGTTTTCTGTTCATTCAAGTACATTTATCTGATTTTGGCACGTTGGTGTTTTTTTGGAATGTGCGAGCGTCTGAATGACGTGTTTTCACATTTCAGTGAGTTTTCTGGGTTTACCAATAAAAACTGCATCATATTCAACCGTTTTCAGTAAAAACCTCCTAAGAATCCTTCTAAAAGCCACGTTGCATCCAGGTGAGTTCCCAGCAGGTGTGAAGCTGTTGGAGATTTTCCTGCTGGATCGGCGTGTTTTCACTTCTTGGCGTGTTTTCTGCAGATAGCGATGTACTCCTGCACGTCCTCAGGTGAACCCATCGCCACTGGTGCGCGCTGGTGGATGTCCTCAGGCTGGATGTCCAGGATGTTTTGCAAGCCAGTGGAGGCCATGCCGCCCGCCTGCTCCATGATGAACGCCATCGGGTTGCCCTCGTAGAGCAGCCGCAGCTTCAGGGAGGAGGAGGAGTTTAGTCTCAGCAACAAAACCAACAAATGACTCAAAAGGATTTAAGGAAAAGAATCAAAAAGATGAAAAATTAAATAAAAGTAAAAACATTTTCTCTTCGGTGAACTACGAGATCAGAGCTCATTTCATTTATTAAGGGAACCTGTGAAGGTCAATTTTTTACACCTCCTCACTCAGGAGGAGCAGCAGGAGGTCAAAGACCTGAAAATGAAGAAGGAAGTTCAGAGTGAAAGATGTCGCCATGTTGGTTGGATGAAATCTTCCTGATGAAGTAAAAATCTTTGAGATGAAAACGTCTGAAGAAAAGAAACAAAACTTCTGAAAACAAAACATTTAAAGTCTTAATCCTTTACAAGAAATGTGATTAAATATTTGGAAGTTTCAAAGGTTAAGGCTGGATTACACCAACCAGGTTTCATTTAAAATGCGATTAATGCTAGTCTGGATTACACCAACAATGTGTCATTTAAACTAAGATTAGCGCTAGTCTGGATTACACCAACACGGTTTCATTTGAACTGAGATTAGCGCTAGGCTGAATTACACCAACAATGTGTCATTTAAACTAAGATTAATGCTAGTCTGGATTACACCAACACAGTTTCATTTAAACTGATATTAGCGCTAGGCTGGATTACACCAACAAGGTGTCATTTAAACTGAGATTAGTGCTAGTCTGGATTACACCAACAAGGTTTCATTGAAACAGAGATTAGCGCTAGGCTGGATTACACCAACAAGGTTTCATTTAAACTGGGATTAGTGCTAGTCTGGATTACACCAACAATGTGTCATTTAAACTAAGATTAACGCTAGTCTGGATTACACCAACACGGTTTCATTTAAACTGAGATTAGCGCTAGGCTGGATTACACCAACAAGGTGTCAGTTAAACTGAGATTAGCGCTAGGCTGGATTACATCAACAAAGTTTCACTTAAACTGAGATTAGTGCTAATCAGAGATTAGCTTTTTGTTTTTTATTAAAAGTTTTACACATTTTTTTTAATTTTTCAAACCCTTTAACTTGGTTTTAACAATGAAAGTTTTACTACTTACACTTTAATTGTGTTCACCTTAAAAAAAATTGTAAAACGTTTTTCTTTGTTATTCCAAAAAGTAAAATTTTATTTGTTAAACTTTTTTACTCCTTCGTTTAATGCAAAACTTTGACACTTTTCATTTAAATGAAAAGGGTCTGGATTATAATCCAGGGTCTGGATTGTAATCCAGACTAATAATAATTATTATTATTATGATTATTATTATTATAACAACTGTTCTACTCTAGAGATGTAACAGTAATAATGATGTAATTTTATTAACATTCAGCTATAATAATGTTTCACTTCTCCTTCAAACAAACTCATATTTTGTAGAATATTTTTGTGTAACGACTTTATTTTTCTTGGTGCTTCTGAGAAAACCTGCAGGTCAACGGGATCTGTGTGAAGAAGGAATTCCTGGGAGCACCCTACCTTTCCTTTGGGGCTTTTCACATTCCCGGGATATAAGAAGATTCCTCCATACATCAGTGTCCGGTGCACGTCTGCCACCATGGAGCCGATGTAACGCGCTCCGTACGGCTCGCTGCCGTCCTGTGAAGATTTACCACAGAAAGGATCAACTCAACAGGTGACTTGATGATCACAAACGGAGCTTTTCCACTGGAGCAGGAAGCGAGTCTAATGAGCGGAAGGTTGCTGGTTTGAAACCGTGAAACAGGAAGCTGTTGACACGAGGACCAGCAAGAGGAAGGTGTCCTAACATCGGCGTTACCTCGGGGAACTTCTTCTTCTGCAGATACTCTGTGACGGCCGGCTCAAAGTGTTTGGCGTAACCTTCGTTCAGGCTGTAGATCTTTCCGCGCTTCTTGATCTTCACGTCTCGGTCGACGAGGATGAACTCACCGAGCGCCTGCAGAGAAAAACCAGCAGGGTTTCATGGCCCAGTTCTGTCCCATCTGTGAAGTCTGGGTCAGGACTGGTACTGACCGGGTCCAGCATGAAGCAGTTGACCCCCTGACCCGTGGACAGGACGATCATGGTGGCGCTGCCGTAGAGGGCGTAGCCCGCTGCCACCAGGTTCCTGCCGGGCTGCAGGGCATCGTTCTCACACGGCTCATCGTCGGTGGTCTGAGAGGAGAAAAGGAAACTTCTGTGAACAAATCTCGTTTTCTGATGTTTTACTTTATTTTCCGTCTTTAAAGGGGCATTATGGAAGTCTGAGAGTCAAAACATGGATAGAAATAATAAATGTCTTCTTCATACATTCTCCTGCAATGCCCTGGTCCTGTAGAATGAGCCCTGGCATTTTTACTGTGATTGCCTGTTTTTCTGTAAAATCACAGAAAAAGAGAGATGCTCGGGTCGAGCAGGCTGCTTCATGCGCGTTCACGCTCAGGCATCGCCCGTAGCATTTGCTATCCGTAGCTTTAGCAGCAGAGAGAGAGGCAGTGCCACTTTGTCGCTGTTCCTAACGCCTAGTGACAAAGCTAGCGACATTTCTGAGGACCCTTAGCTACTTTCTGTAGAACTTTCTTCCAGATATTTCCTGCAAATTAGCAACAAAATAGCCATTTTCACTCCGTTTCAGCTGTCATCAAGGATATAAATGTTACAGATACAAAGGACATCACTGGCGCTTTAGCTCACCTAGTAAGACGTCGGACTCTTGTGCAGAAGACCTGGGTTTGATTCTGGGTGTTAGCATAGTTTATTTAGAGTTTCTTTTTTACATTAATGGTATATTTTTTTACAGTAAGATGCCCAAATTTTTATTTGAGACTCGCCGAACGGCATTGAATTCACAGATAAAAAAGATGTGGGTTCAACTTTCAGTTTGGAACAATTTTTCAAGCAAGGGAAGGGAATGATCTGAGCATGCAGGAGGACTGACCCATCATAAACCTTTGTCGGCTGTGCTGAAGAGAAAGGTACAGAACCACATTATTTAATTAATTAGCTGCGCGTTCTCCTGTCCTCTGTCCCCCAACAAGATTGGGTCGGGACTGGAACCAAACCAGCAAGACTACCAAACTACATCCCCCCCCCCCCCCCCCCCAACATCCATAGCACCTTTAGGAGTGATGCTTTCCGCTTTGCAGCAGCACAAGACTGGGATCCATTCCAGACCCCACCCCCCACCCCCATCCTTGTTCCCAATCATGTGCATTGTCTGTGGTATTTATGCAGGGTTGGGGTTAGGCCTGTTCGCCAGGTCATGTTTAGGTGGTTCTCAAACAGTTTACCTGGATAAATAAAGGTTAAATAATTAGATAGGTAACTGGTGACTATACCTTCTTGTAAATGGCAAAAATTGTTCCGATGGAGACGAGGCAGTCGATGTTGGAGGAGCCATCCAGAGGATCGAAGCACACGATGTACTTACCCTGGAAAAGACATGAAAAGGGTATGAAGTCCTACTAAAGCAGGGATCGAAGAATCGCCAGGTCTTGTTTCTGTCAGGGCCGCTTTAGGCGTGGCACGCTCTGAGCCCGGTCACCAGTTCCTGCTCTCATTGGTGGTTCTGGACTGATGGACCCTGAACCCACCCGTCTTTCTGGTTCCACGATGATGGCCCGGTCGTTCTCCTCAGACACCAGAACACAGGAGGTGAAGGAAGACTTGATCATGTTGATGACCAGGTCGTTGGACAGGATGTCCAGCTTCTTCACCTGATCTCCAGTCACGTTGGTGCTGCCTGCGATCCCATAGCTGATGAAGCACACCACAGGAAATCATGGAAAGAATAAACAGGTGGAGACGAGTCATGATCATTCGTTTAGGGAGTGATTCTGACACATTCTGTTGGGATTCGAATCTTTTTTTATGATTAAAAACGCATCAGAAACGTTATTTGTCGGAGCTTTGGCTGAGAGGATCAGAGTTAACGACGCAGACGCGTATCCAAACGTCCAACCGTCTGCCAGAGTCAGATGTCAGATGTGTGATTGGCTCACACACAACCGGAATCTCCTGCTCAGCCTGTGCGTCTGCCTCGACTTTTCATACAACTCAAAGAGTCTGGAAAACTTTACAGAAAGCGCAAATATTCTAAATTCGTCACGAGACGTGCGGATTTGACTTACAGGTTCGCAATGCCAGCTTTGCGCACAGCGCTGGAGATGGCCTTCACCGCCGTGCACAGCGAGTTGAGCAGCGTGGTCAGCTCCCCGGTGCCTTTGGCCCTCCTGCCCTCCTCCATCACGAAGCGGGTCACGGTGACCACGTTGGTGTCGAAGGTTCCCCGGTCGGACATGGTGGCGCGCGGTCTCCGGTAGTCCAAGTGCGGGGCTCGGAGCGAACTCTGCGGGACTTTTAAAGGTGGAACTCGGCAGAGGGAGTGAGAGCAGAGGGGCCAATCCTGGGCTGCGGGAGAGGTGTGGCCCCGCAAGAAACACAAGCCGCTTTGTGCAGAAATCAGCTGATAAATGTTTAAACATAAAGATGTGACCTGGACAAAAAGAGCTGCGCACACCTGTAAGCACCTGAGTTACTCAAGATTTACTCAGAAAAAACAAATAAAGGTTTTACACCATCCACCCACCTTTCTATCCATTTATCCATCCATCCATCCACCTATCTACCCATCCATCCATCCACCCACCTATCCATCTATCCATCCATCCACCCACCTATCTATCTATTCATCCATCCATCCATCCATCCACCCACCTATCTATCTATTCATCCATCCATCCAACCACATATGTATTCATCCATCCATCCACCCACCTTTCTATCCATTTATCCATCCATCCACCCACCTATCTATTCATTTATCCATCCATCCACCCACCTATCTACCCATCCATCCATCCATCTGTCCATCCACCCACCCACCCACCTATCCATTCATCCATCCACCCACCTATCTATCCGTTTATCCACCCATTCATCCATCCATCTATCCACCCATCTGTCCATCCATCCATCCACCCACATATATCTATTCATTCATCCACCCACCTATCCATTTATCCACCCATCCACCCACCCATCCATCCATCCATCTATCCATCCATCCATCCACCCATCCATCCATCCATCCATCCATCCATCTATCCATCCATCCATCCATCCATCTATCCACCCATCCATCCATCTGTCCATCCATCCATGCACCCACCTATCCAACCACCCACCCACCCACCCATCCATCCATCCATCCATCCATCCACCCACCCATCCATCCATCCGTCCATCCGTCCATCCACCCACCCATCCATCCATCCACCCACCCATCCATCCATCCATCCATCCATCCACCCACCCACCCATCCATCCATCCGTCCATCCGTCCATCCACCCACCCATCCATCCATCCACCCATCCATCCATCCATCCATCCACCCATCCACCCACCCATCCATCCATCCATCTGTCCATCCGTCCATCCACCCACCCATCCATCCATCCACCCATCCATCCATCCATCCATCCATCCATTCATCCATCCATCCATCCATCCACCCACCCATCCATCCATCCACCCATCCATCCATCCATCCATTCATCCATCCATCCACCCACCCATCCATCCATCTACCCACCCATCCATCCATCCATCCATCCATCCATCCATCCATCCATCCATCCATCCATCCATCCACCCATCCATCTATCCACCATTCACCCATCCATTCACCCATCCATCCATCCATCCATCCACCCATCCATCTATCCACCATCCACCCATCCATCTATCCACCATTCACCCATCCATTCACCCATCCAACCATCCATCCATCCAGTCATCCATTCATTTATAGGTACCACAGAAATCTGTCTTTCTGTCCATGCCCACAAAGGCCTCAGTGAGAAACTGAAACTATTGGCAGATAATGAGAAAATTCCACCTATTCTCTTACTAACTGTGACTTGTAGAATAAACAAATACACTCTTCTCCTTAAATCTGTCCAGTACTTGTTAAAATCCCGTTCCTATAGTTACGCTGAGCAGCGGACTCCAGACCTGCTGTTTCCTCGGCTCCTTGTGTCTTTCAGCCATTCAAGTTTTCACGTTTCCTGAAACACAGTTTTTCATCTTTAGGTTTAACTGGTTAAAGCTAGAAACCAACGTCTCCTCTTCTACAGATCCTGACTTCTCTGGGCAGGATGTGATTATATAAGCACACTTTCTGTTTTTTGAACAAGTTTTTTATGCGTTTACAGTTTTTCTCCATTGGCTCATTTCTTGAAACAGAAATTACATTCTCAAACCTCTAAGATCATTTTGGCAAACACTCACAGTTTAGCACAACACTATAGCTCACCTGCAAAAGCTCATATCTCTTCCTAAACTGTTCACTCGGGCTTCAATCTGAATCCCTTTCTCATTTAAACAGTCAGTGTCTCCAAAACGGCAAAGATCTTTCTCAATAGCTTTGGCTCATTTCTCGACACAGATCGGACATTCTCATCATTCTTGGTGCTTCTGTCAACGTAAGCCTGGATGGTCGATCACAACAACATGGTTTACCTGCAAATGAGTACTGCCGTACAGAATGTTTAGATGTTTTGTCACTATGGCAGAGGAGCAACAATATAAAACCGAAAAGAGTAGCCTCCAAGGTTTGACATCAGAGATTGCACTCGCACTACCAAGGAAATTATAACCATTTTTTATTCACACGCAAAGAAAGTTACATACATATGTAAAAATAAAATGTACATTACAGTAATACAGTCAATTGTATGAACACTAAATCAAACAACAAGGACGTATTCAGTGGTCGTGGGTCAAGCTCTATATATCTGTGTTTGGCAGCACACGATCATGGAAAACATCCATGTGTGACACTCCCCGTTCACCTGACTGTCGATGACTGTCATCAATGTATCACATATTCAAAGAAATTCATATATGGTATTCTTGGTGTTATGTTCTTGAATTCTGACAGTTGTGCATGCGAGTACTTATACAATGAAATCATGCTGACATGTTTTGGAGAGAATGATCATTAGAGTGAGAATCAACTAATCTGTTTAGATCTACGAGATCTATTCATTTGGAAAATGTGCTAAATGTGGGCTAACTGTATAACTGTATAACAAAGCTTTATAAATAAAGCTTTGATTGATTGAACTGTAGGCTACATGTACTTAATCATTTGCAAAGATGCACTGAGACAATTGAGACATGTACTAAGGCATTAGCCATTTGTGAACATTTGCCAAGAGGTTTGGAGGTTTGTCCATGTTGTTTTGAGAATGTAATTTCTTTCAAGAAAGGAGCCAAACCAATGGAGAAAAACTATAATACAAACCAACACTAGATGGCGCTCCAGCTCCAGCCAGTAGACCCATACATCCTGTTGTTTGTTTTTTTATTTTACCTTTATTTATAAGCTGTTTCGTATTTAAAAACACGGTAGTTTCTTTTTTTTCTATGAAAAAACCCAACTTTTTTGAGTCATTTTATGAATAAACCGAATATTTAAAATTTCAAATAATAAAAATGTAAAAAGACACTTAGCTTTAGTTCGTTGCCATTTAAACTGCAATTAATGCGTCCGAAAGAAAAGTAATGTTGAGAGGTCTATTCTTCAGCGGACGACACACTTCATACCATTTTATTGTGGTAACAATAATAAAAAAAAAAATAAATAATAATAATAATAATAATAATAATAATAACAATAATAATAATAATTTTTTCCTTCCTTTTCTCTGACTGTAGCAAGTGCATTTCCCCACTGTGGGACTAATAAAGTCTATTCTATTCTATTCTAATAATAAGTCTGTTGTCGGGAGCATGATAAACTATCCAGCAGCTGCAGAGGGTAAACATCCGGGTCCTTTGGCCCGGTTCTTTAAGGCCCAGGATGGAAAAGTAGGCCGAGCTGCGCAGGTAAACCACACCTGAGTTCCTGACTGGCTGACCTTCATTGAAGCGCGAAGCAACCAGTGCGCATGCGCCAACTCGCCTCTGAGCAGGAGCGGATCAGTACAAAGACGCCGCCGCAGCGCGTGCTGCTAATTGTTCGCTTCGGAACCGAACCACGGAAACTGAAAAGTCCAACCCGGTTCTGGTTTTACCGGCTCTGGTTGTGGCTCTGGCTCAGGAAGCGGGACCGTGGAGAAGCCCGAGAGGAGGTCCGGATCCCGGACCCGGTGATAGTTGGCGACGGTGAGTACAACTTTCCGCTCTTTACGTTTTATTGTTTTATTTACAAATCTTTGGGTTTCCGGCTTGGTCCGGTTAGTTAAAGTTCTGCACGTATTCCGGTCATGTGGTCCTGCAGCCCGAACCAGCCAGGTCGGACCAGACCAGACCAGACAATCCCATGAAACGCTGCTGGTTAATCTGGATTATGGTTAAAGTCAGATGGTGTTTGTTGTTGAACAGTTAAACTCGTTTTTTATATTAAAAAAATAAAAAAAGTTCCTAAAACAGCTGAACGGGTTGACCTTTGACCCCCGAAGGACCAAACAGTTTTATCCTCAAAAATGTGATTTTCTTTCCATTCCCACGTTAATATAGGAGCAAACGGTGGAATAATCCACTGGATTTTATTCCCACCAAACTGCCTCACCTCCACACATTTCTTTCTCCTTTCATTGCCTCCTCTTCCTCCTCCCACACTGTCCAGACTCCTTTAACAAAGCCTCTCTAATGAGACGGATCAGGACCAGAACTCCTGTTGGTCCTGTCTGGTGCCTAACCCACCTGCTGCTGCTGAGTGGTTCTGCCGAGGCTTTTGGACGTGGGTTCAGACCAGGATGGTGGTCCCTATTGTGCTGCTGAAGGACCGGGGTCACCCAGGGGCCTCCTCATCTTCTGCTGTCCCACAGGCTTTTCCACTTCCCTCTCCGATAATCACAGAAGAATATGAGCTTTGTAGAACCCGTCTGATGGGATTCTTCAGCTTCACTTGTGGCCCTTTTGGCTCGTACCTTCACCCACGTCTCCACCCAACCAACACACACACACGCACACACACACACACACCCCGTTTGGTCTTCATCCACGGTTTGATTTTGTAAATTAAGTGTTTTTTCATTACGTTGCAAACACTTTTAATAAAGATGCACCGATTCTGCTAGTGTGCTGATACCGATGACCAGTTATGTACAGCTCAGACCTGCTCATAGTTTTTTTGACCAATACTGATTTATCTCAAAAGAATAATAATTAATTCAATTCAAGTTTATTCATAAAGCGCCAAATCACGACGAGTCGTCTCAAGGACCTTCACATAGTAAACATTCCGATACAGGTTAGTACATGAACTCGTTCGCTGCCAGCCGTTTCCCGATCGGTAAAGCCCGTCGCTGCCAGCGTTTCTCACCGTTTTTACAGTTTTTTTTAAGAGTCACAGAGCGTTGCGCGCTAGGATGATGTCGACGCCAAAACAACCAAAACAATGCAGAGACTCGCCTCTTACATCAGGAAGAATCTGCGCGTTTCGAGCGTTATCCGTTCTTTCATAATCCGTTGTTGAATCGTGATCGGCAGAAGCTTTTCCGGTTCACGCCTCACTTTTTTTTTTTTTTTTAACAGCAGCGGCCCAAAACGATCTCCTAACGCATGGATTTTCTGCTTCCTGATCACGTGTTGTGTGATTAGGGCTGGGCGATATGGCCTCAAATCTATATTGCGATATAATCTGAAGCATGTGAGATTACGATATATACTGCAATATATTTTTTCCTTTGTCAAAATGACATGCTTTAAAAAATCCTCATATGGAAAATATGATCTGCAACTGAGAAAGTGAAATTTTTATTGCCGTCCCTGAGCTCCCTGGCTAAATGCTAATTTATGGTAGCGATAAAGGGTCTTATGTGTGGAAAATTAAATTAAGGTGAAATAAAAAAAGTTCCATGAGATAAATTTGAACCAGCAGGTCAGAGGTACAAGAGTCTGACACCAGTATCGGCCCTCAGATCCAGAATCGGTGCATGTTAATGATGATGAAACAGAATTCTGATCCTGAAGTCGGATATGGACCAGAAGCTGGTGTTGCCTCTGAACTACGGCTTGGAGACCCGTTTGGGTTCTCATACCACCTCCCTGGTTCTGCTTCTACCAACGTGAGTGGGTCCGGTGGCTCCACCGCCCAGTACCGGGTCTCTGTGAGCTTATGGTTGGTCAGTTCTCACCTCAGCGAGACAACCTCCTGTCCTCAACATCAAAGCAGGTCTTTTGCCTCTGATGTGACCCCCACCCCACCCCCTCCCTGTAATTAGACTCCTGTTTGGGTCCAGATGTGTCGGCATCCTCTCCTTAGTTCTGGTTCTGACCCTGTGGTTGTGGATGTTCAGTTTTTGAGCATCTTGGATTCCTGGTCTCTGTAATTTTACATGAGAGAGAGAGGGGGGGGGGGGGGGTCTGATGTTCTAATTTTGGTTCTGGAGGAACATCTGTGCACATTTTTCTGCTTTGCATGATTCTTCTACGTAACCTGAAACTTCCTTCTTCTGTGTTCATATTTAGTCTTTCTGCACCAGACCACTCTTACTGGTTTGACTGGGTGGTGGGGGGGTGGATGCAGCTGCCTGGGTCTGGAGTGTGGGTGAAGACCTACAGGAGTCTGAGGGGCTGCCCTGTTATTACAGCATCCAGCTCCTCTGCAGGAGCCAGATGTGTCGGCTCATCCAGAGCTCCTGCAGGTTTTTCTAAACGAGAAGCGGAGTCTCCGGGAGCGACGGATTTCCAGGAACCCGGGAAAGCTGCCAGCTCAGCTCAGCTCCACATTGTTGGCAAATTTGAGAGGAAGTCATTAGAGAGTGATCAAAGCTTTGGCAGAAATGCTTAGAGAACTTAAGTCGTTTTTTTGTGCTGCGGAATCTGAGCCTGGAGATGGTCTGATGTCTGGATCAGGAATTCTGGACAAGTTTTTTAGTTAAAGGTCAGATTTTAGATTTAGTACAGCCTCTCCCTTCCTGGCAGATTTTTATGAAACCCTCAAACTCGCGTCCGGAGGCTCGTCCGCAGCTGATTTTTACAGTCGCATTAAAAATGGCTGCCGCTGCTGATCAAACTGCTCAAGTTCAGAGCTGGAGCTGGAGCTCGGAGTCTTTTAACGGATTACACTAATGAAGCGTTGAGTGTTTGGGCAGAAAACTAACACAAAGTTAGAAAGTTGGTGTTTGGTAGATTATTTCTCTGATGCTTCTAGTTTTAGAAGGTCTGATGAGCCGCCTTCGCTAGGAGATGGAACTCACCCAGGAATCCGCAGCATCTCAGATGTCCTGTAATACCCGCTGATATCTTCCTGGTGATGCTCTTCTCTTACTGGATTAGAGGGAACTTTTTTATTTAATTAGGGAAAAAAAAGTATTTTCTATTTTTACTTTTTATGCATGTAAAACTGTCTGTAGCTAGGCTCCTCCTCCTTATGTTGATTATCACATTGGCTCCTCCCCCTCATGCTGGTCACCCTTTTGGCTCCTCCCCTTCATGCTGGCCACCATTTTGGCTCCTCCCCCTCATGCTGGTCACCAGTTTGGCTCCTCCTCGTCATGCTGGTCACCATTTTGGCTCCTCCCCCTCATGCTGGTCACCATTTTGGCTCCTCCCCCTCACGCTGGTCACCATTTAGGCTCCTCCTGCTCATGCTGATCACCATTTAGGCTCCTCCTGCTCACGCTGGTCACCATTTAGGCTCCTCCCCCTCACGCTGGTCACCATTTAGACTCCTCCCGCTCATTCTGGCCACCATTATGGCTTCTCTTTGTCATGCTGGTCGCCATCTTGGCTCCTCCTCATCATGCTGTGCTTCATCTTGGCTCCTCCCCTTCATAATGATCACCATCCCATTTTTCCACCAGGAGCTGTTGAAGCTCCACCAGCTCAGAGGTGTTGGCCGCAGAAGAACTAAGCTGTCCAAGTGTGGTCAGTCACGCACCTCGGACAGAACCACTCCTGCTGAGTTGGTCGTGGACCTGAACAGCAGTGTTTAGTCTTGATTGGGTATAACGGGTAACGTCCTGCCTGTATGTTTGTTTGTTTTTTGTTTTGGGGCTAATTGAGCAAAGCCTAGAAACAACAAAAAGCTGAACACGAACATCTGAATGTTCCTACTGATGGAGGATCTGCTGCTGGAGTTCTGTGAGTGGTTCCTCCATGCTGCAGCTTGTGTGAGGGGGAAGCGTGTTGTGGTGAACATGAATGGATGAAGGGAATTGCTCTCTGCTGCTGGGATTAACCCTGATTAAACCTCCAAAGTGTGTTCCACAAAGATGTTTTGTTTCCTGGTATGTTGATCCTTTTCTTCATTTCTTCCTCTCAGCCCTCATCTTTAATCTGAGAGATGATCATCAGGGTCACTGATGTTTGACATGTTAATGCTGAGTCATAATTTCTCCTTGTTAAGATTTCCCTCTGAAAAAAAAAAACTTTTAGTTTAAAACGACTTCATCCACTGACTCTCTGGCTCCATTTGGAGGAGTGGAGTTAATGGGACCGATCTGGTGAATAAAGCCGATTACACGCTGGAACGATGTTCTGAAGAAAAGGCCTGATGAGACGTGCTGTAGAGGGTTGTTTTGATGTTTAGATCATAATGGGGGTGGCGGCGAGAACGCTTTGGCCAAACAGAAAAACGTCACGGAGCTCATCAAGTTTGTTTTAACACTGATTACAAGACAAACTGTTTTCTGTTAAGTAGCATTTCTTAGACTAAATCTGCATTGTCAGGTCTTTGCTGTAAAAGAATTATGAGCCAATTTCAAACCCAGAAACCTCCACGAATGCACAGGGTATCTATCCGCGGGTCCTTAAAAGGTCTTCAATTAGCTTTTCCAAATTTAAGACCCTAAAAATCCTTAAAAATGACGAATAATCCTTAAAGTTACCAAAGGTCTTAAATGACCAAAGACCAATAAACAAGATTCTCTTATTTCTATAAAGTTTTCGTGAACTTCTAGTTAGTGTTCGTTTTTTGTGTAAAATGTTGGCATAAATGGAACCGTACACATGCAGCTGATTGTGAAAGGGGGCTATTTTTAGATGAGTACATTAGCTGGTTAAGCTAGTAGGGGCTTGCGCCTTTGGGAAGTGCAAGTTTAATGGTAACTGGATGGCTAATCCCACGTTCGCAATGTGGTTAGCACCGGTTCCAGGCAATAGCTGGAAATCATATCTTAAATTTAATTTTAAAAATGGTGTAAATTTGGTCAAAA